AAAGAGTTTACTCTCTTCTATTGCATGTGGAGGGAGATTTGAGTCAAAATTGCATCTTGAGGAACTGTGAAATTTGCATGAGTATGTAGCTGGTATGTTTTTCTGCTTCAAAACATGGAAACTATGAAATGCGTAATTTCTGCAATTTCAGCTAACTCCACAGGTTTTTACCTATATTATTCACTTGCCTGGGATAATAAATGTGTGCTGGTCCCTCTTGGGAAGGAGAGGTGAGGCACGAGTGTGGTTTGTGTTTGGTTGCTGATCCTCTCCTGGTTGAAGGGCCTTTCCTTGCAGAACTCATTTTGAGATCACAGCCTTTAGCACAGGGATCTGTAGGGTGATAGTTCTGCAGTTCAGCGTCCCTGTGCCTCTTCCATACTTCCCCCTGTACAGGACTGCCATCCCACTGTTTTTTGCTGCTGCTGCAAATAAGCGCTTTAGGAAGTCTATGTCAAATTTTGTTGTAATGTAAGTTAGCATGACCAGCAGGTCGAGTGAGGTGATTCTCTGCTCTTGTGAGACCCCACCTGCACTGTTGTGTTCAGCTCTGGGGCCCCCAGCACAGGAGAGACCTGGACCTATTGGAACGAGTCCAGAGGAAGCCATGAACATAATCAGAGGGCTGGAGCACCTCTGCTATGGAGACAGGCTGAGACAGCTGGGCTGGGCTTTTTCAGCTGGTAGAAGAGAAGACTACAGGGAGACATCATAAGAGTCTTTCAGTACCTAAAGGGGGCCTAAAGGAAATCTGGAGAGGGACTTTTTACAAGGTCTGTAGTGACAGGATAAGGGGGAGTGACTTTAAACTGAAAAAGAGTAAATTTAGATCAGATATAAAGTTCTTTACTGCACGGGTGGTGAGGCACTGAAACAGGTTTCCCAGAGAAGTTGTGGGTGCTCCATCCCTGGAAGTCAAAGCCAGGTTGGACTGGGCTTTGAGCAACCTGGTGTAGTTGAAAGTGCCCCTGCCCGTGGTAGGGGGTTGGAACAGATGATCTTTAAGGTCCCTTCCAACCCATACCATTCTATGACATGTTCATCGACTTAACTAGATTTACTTGAGCAAAACCATATTCCTGTGCTTGTTTATTCACCGCATTCTCTTTAGTAGCTCCTAATATGGATATCAGTATTGGTTATGACCTCTCCTCTTTAGCAGTGGCTGAGGCAGCAGGTAGAAACTTCTGGCCTTCACCCATAGTTGCCAGGGCTGCTGCAGGAGCTGCTTCCCAGCAGCTGTTATCTCAGGACTGGCTTGCTTGGACCTTCCCCATCCCATCTTCTGCTCACAGCTCAGTCCCACCTTGCTCCAGAGTCTCTTTCCTCCCTGGCTCAGAGTCCTGCTTAGCCTTCTCATTGATGAAGAGCTGAGCGCTGCCTCCATGGCACTGTCAAACCCCCTGCTTGAAGCTTGTTGGGTTTTTTTAAGATGTGCACTGCATATTTAATGATTTAGGAACATGTCAACAAAGAGATTGGGAAGGTTTTGAAGCCTTTGCAAGACATTACACTCTTTTTTTTTTTTTTTTTTAAGAACTATTAAGCATGTCAAGCCTTTTCCAAACTATGATGAAAAGATTCGTTGCCATTTCAGCAAGGACAAAGGAACAATTTAAGAGCAAGGATGGGGGGATTTTTTCTAACAACATTAAATTTGCAAGAGTCATGTTTTTAAACACCCAACCCCAAACGGAAAAAAACATGGCTTATTTTAAAATAGTTGAAAACAATTGAATACATCTATTTTGTTGTAGTGGTGACTGAAAAGAATTCAGAATTTTAATGGAAAATGGGAGTTTGAAATACAGCTTCAGGAAAACTGACATCCAGATTTGACTGAAGTTCCATAAATCTTCAGAGCAATTTTTTGCAGTTTTGACATGTATCACTCTGGTAAATTAAGAAATAAATTAAAAAAGGCATATATTAATTACCAGCGATGTTTGCCAAATCCTGTCTCATTTTAAGAGAAATAGAAATCAAATAGATTTTAACATTAGGACTCAGCATAATTATCTCAATCTGATGTCCATTTAAAATCAGTGTGATTTGTCCTGAGGAAAAACTGAGCTATTTCATACTGAAATTATTTGTTTGAGAATTCTCCTTGGATCTAGCCCAGATGATTGTTCTGCTTGTGGGTGATCTGAATGCGAGAAAAGATTTTTCTGTCTTTAGAAAAAAGCCCCAAACCTAACAGAAAGAACTAATTAAGGCAAAGCTAAGGAACTGAATTCAAAGTTTGCATTGCACATGTGAACTAATCTTTTTACAATGGTATCTTTCGAAAACTGTGTAAGAGCTCCATTCATGCCGGATCTCACACGGCAAATCCTTCCTAGAAAGGCAGCCGCATGAAGATTTGTCATGAGCAAGCAATAAAGACTTTCAGGGAACAGGTTCTGTACAGGCTTCTTGTTTGCCTACTAGATCATTAGCTTTCAAAAAAACCCCATCTGTAGCCTTAACAGGCACTGGTTGTAATAGGTGTGTCAGCAGCACTTCATGCTAAGAGCAGCTTTTACAGGATTAGATTCGAGTTTTTAAGTGACGGTATCATGAAGCTCTTAAGGGCAAAGCACTACTGGTTTAATGCAGCAAATTCTCTAATGTCCTTTTATGCCATGTACTGAAATGTGGTGACTCTCTGACCACGCTAAAATGAAGAAAACCAAGTGTTCAGGAGGAGGTGGGTTTTGAAGGAAAATGGCTGTGTTTGCTTTAGGAGCAGCCACTGCATTTGGAGAGCTTTTTTCACATCTTGAAATATTAATGATCTTTGCTTAATATAGTAGAAAACAAAATACACTGCATGTGGAAGAAAAAAATCCCTGAATTACAGACTGTTGACCTTGCAGTATCCACTGAATCCATCTATTCCCTTTAAACCACCACATCTGAAAAGACAATGAGGAGGAATGGTTGCAAACATCTTTACCTCTGACATTTTCCTACCTTTCCAACATCATGTTACAGCCTGAGCAGGCTCTCCCAGTATTTATCATCTAAGTATTTTAATACTAAACAGGCTAAAGACAACCCTTCATTCAGTAATTTCTGTGAACTATGATGTTTGTGTTAACAGTAATGTTAGTTTCCATGTTTTATTTTAAAAGCCTTGACGAATAGAAATAATTTGATGGATAACAGCAGTCAGCCTGGTGTCTTCTCTTGTATTCTGTTTTTCCATGCCATGTATTTGTATATGGCAGAAAGCTATGCCTGCCCTGTTCATATACAGGCTTAGGTATATTTCTGATCTGAGCTGTGACAGTGAAAACCAGGAATAATGTCTCAGATCAGTATCTGCAACTTGACTGCCGCTGTTGTTAAACAGGGCATAAGAGGACATGTAGTGATAGTACAGCTCGCTCCCCAGGTACTGCAAATCATATCCAAAAATGAAAGGTAATTTTCCTTTTTTTTTTTTTTTTTTAATTTTATTTCTGGGCAATTCACATCACAAACAGAATAAGGTGGTTTACATGAGTTGCCTTTGTGTACTGCAAATGCCTGGCCGTACCCGGTGGGTTTGTGTTTGTGTTCGGGGACTAATTGTCTCTGATGTGGGGAGGCTGGGTTTGACCTCTGTGATTCTTCCTACAAAGCTGTGGTTTCTGGTTTTAATTGAAACCCCAAGGATATTTGAAGCATGGCCAGAAAGCACTTTCTAGGTTGAACCTTATCTAATAGCGTGACACATGTAAATTCTGGAAGAATAAATCTCAGTCACTTGAGCAGTGTGTTTTTATATCATCCTCTGGTCCAGTGACAGACACAGCGAAAGCGGACTGATCTGGTGCTCTTACAGATGGCGCACGGCACATCATAAAGTTAGGACACATTAAGGAAATTCCATAATGGCTTTAGTTAATAAGAGTGGAGTAACTTGCTGTTTTATAAATGCATTGCTGAAATCCTCCTCCATTTCCCATTGGAGGGCTTAATAAGAAAAGGAGTGAAAGAGCAAGGAAAACTAAGACAAGGGTAAAATAGGAGTGAGCTTCGGCTGTGCAGAGGCTTGCACCCCATGTACTGGAGTCTGTGTGTAGCAGGAGAACACCAGAGGTAGTGTGGGTGATACATGATAAGATGTGAGAGTGAGTCACGCAGTAAATCCTGGGAACAACCTTTCCTTTTTACATGTTTGCATGCCTGGGTATTTTCTCTATTCTCCATAATGCTGAAAGCCAGTGGTGATGGTAGACTTTTCTCTCTAGCCAAGGAGAAATTTCTAGGATGACATACCTGTTAGCCACTATGAAAATGTGTTATTAATGATGCTAATGAGTTTTTTTTTGAGGTATGTAAAAGTAGCCATTTGTGTAAACATTGCATCTATAAAGATGTTGTCACTGAAAGTTTGCCAATTGCATGTGGGACCTGGTGGCAGTGGTGCACTTAACTGCTGTGCTGTGGTTTCAAGGAGGGGAGAACACTGCTGATTTCCTCTCTTGGGGAGAAAGCCAAATGACTTCTGACTTGCCAGGAGGAAGACGTGCCATTTCCGGGCATGTTATGCTGGGGCCTCATTGCCAATTGCAGTGGGTTCCTGTCCCAGTCCCTCTTAAAAGTTGGCAGTGTCTGACTGTCAGCTGCCATTCCTTAAGTGGTCGTAGAATAAACCAGTTGTGCCCCTTTTGTCATGCTCTGTGTGTGTGCCTGAATGCAGGTGGACATGGGTTAAACAGCATGCAACTCCACAGTAAGCACAAAGAGGCAGCTGATTTTCTGGCAGTGCCAATAGAAGAGTATAATTTTTTTTATCCTCTCCAAGCCAGCTTTTAAAATGGCTCTTGTTGGAATTAGAAATCAGTATCCCCTGACGTAGGATTACTCATTAAGGGTGTCATCATTATTAATTCTTCACCTGGGGCTAAGAGGACATCATTAGATCTCTTTGAAATGTCTCCTGCCTTGATTTTGAATAAGTAAGCTAGCAATTTAGGGTCACAGCCTGGGCGAGTAACACTCTTCCTTCCTGTTCCTCCATCTAGCTTGCAAAATCGGATACTACAAGGCTCTCTCGACAGATGTTGCTTGTGCCAAATGCCCGCCTCACAGCTACTCCATCTGGGAAGGCTCTACCTCCTGCACCTGCGACCGGGGCTTTTTCCGAGCTGAAAATGATGCAGCTTCCATGCCCTGCACTCGTAAGTTGGTCTTTGAACAGTCTTTTCCCCTTTTATTATTATCCATTTCTTCTCCCATCTTTCTTTCACCGTGTATTATAGGAAGTATTGACCAGAGACCTACGTCCTGCTTCTGAGAGGAGCATTCAGTAACTCTTACAGCCCATTGCAGGTGGTTAGCATTTTAGCTCACACTTCTGGGAAAGAAGGCATCAGTTCTCTGCCCTGAATTCCCGACAGTGACATGGCTGCACTGACCCTTGAGAGCTTCTTACAGTCAAAATAAATAAATCAGGAGACTGGGAGGAGACAAAGCTGCAAAAGAGGAGTGCCTTGCACACCTCAGTAACAGAGCTGGAAATAAAATACAGGTTGATGTTCCAGTGTGAGGGCCTGTCTGGTGATCACATCACCTTTCATCTCTTTAAATATTGGTATTTGTAGAAATTATGGAAGCTTTTCTCATAATCATGGGACTTAGTGTAAATGGGTAATATTTATAATCACATTATATATCCAATTTGCTCAAAATATGGCTGGTTACAGTTAGGAACATAAAAATGCTTATCTGGAAGGGTGCTGGTAATAAATCTTAAACCTTAATGAAACAAACACCAAAGTATGGTTTATTTTATCCTTTGTAGATAAATATAGCATGTACAGCAAATGGAATTTGCTATAGCTCTACCAAAATGCTTCCAGCAGGGAGAACAGTGTAGTGCACCGAGCACACTCACGGGGTTGCTGAAACAACTCCTTGTCTTATGTGTTGGCTAATGGCTCACTCAGCCGAAGACCTGGGATTCCAGGCATGCCCTGGTGTTAAATTGTGATCATCTAGTTCTTCAGTTTTCACTTCTATAGGAGTGGGGCAGTTTGAAAGAGTAAGCAAAAGGGCTGTATTTTACCAGGGGATATCCATTTGTGGCTTTTCCTGAAAGCTATTGGAAATGCTTCCAGATTTTTGGAGTTCAGCTGTATATTTATGTAGAGGATGTGTGTGTCTGTGAGCGAGACAAGGCTGAGATATTTCTTTTGTAGCATTTGAATATATTCCAAATTTGTTTTGGAGAGATGACTCACATTTATTTAAATCTTAATTTCTCCCTTACAAGGCAGAAACAAAGTATGTCCATAACTAAGCCAGCACTCATCCCTTCCCCACACCCCCTTGACTCCAGCTCTCCTTCAGTGATCTCCTTCTTTTCAGCTGTGAGGTTTTCCTAGTTGGTGTTTAAGCGGGCCTGGGCATAGCCAGGAGCAGCTGCTTTTGCTTAGTAGGAAAGAAGAGAGGTTTGTATATCCCTTGCCAAAAATTGACTGGGGATGGAGGTCTAACTGTATGGTGAAACCTTGCTGAAGTGGGTATGTAGATGCTTTTTACAGTATAATTTACACAAGAAGATCTAAAGCTTGACAGTTTTGATAGGAAAGAGGTCTTCTTACAGCGATAAAACTATTGTTTGGAAGCTACACCCTAAATAATGTTATACCAGCAAAAGTTTCTCATAAAGCCGTAGTCCTAGTGAGAGATATCCTGACCAAATTGAAATCAAATTAGTAATCAACTGGTTGAATTTAACTAGGCATGTGCAGTGAGTGAAGTATGAGGAGACAGCAAAACACTTCCAGATGGGAAAATTGTTAGCACGTGATATGTATGTTTGCTTGTATTGCAAAATGTACCACTGCAAGCTTGGCCCTTATTTGTCAAGTCCTGGGCCTGCTTCTGGCACCCATCCGCATTCCTGTCTTCAGAGGTCAGTCAAAGTTGAAGTCCCCGATCTTAGTCTTTTACCCTGAAAACATGAAGAGGGAAGAAGAGAAGGCAAGGGCCATGGTGCTCATCTCAGTCTTCATCTCTACAGCAGTCCAGGAGAACTTGGCATGCAGCAGCAAGCGAACACCACAATCCCACAGACACCTGCTCCTGGCAAGCAGGCCTGTCTCTGGAGGTCCCATTTCTTAGCTTTGCATTTTCATGTAGCTTAAGGGCTTCTTTTTCTGTGATCCAAGATGAAGGAAGACACAAGGGCTATTTCTCAGCTGGCTTGTGGGGCAGCTTTGCTCCCCTGCTCACTGCTGTGCTTGCTATTATCCCCTCTTTGAGGTCAGCCCTAGCAGTGTTTGAACATTGCTGTGATGGTGGTACCTGAGCAGGCTCAGGATGCAGCCCCGCACGTGTGGTGCACCTCTGTGTTGCTCAAGGGGTGGGTTGCAAGGGAGTTTGGAGGAGCCGTTTGCTCCCCACACCAAATAGCCTTCTGCCCACATGCTAGAGGCAAATGACCGGAAGCATTTAGAGAGCTCTGCTGAAGGAAGCCCATCCGGAAGAAGCTCCCCGTTTGTCTGCCTTTCCTGACAAGATGTGGAGACAGAAGGGAGCGTAAACATCAAAGGTTCTTTCAGACGGATTCAGGCTCTAATCAGTTCTTACCAGTTGGTTAAGCCAGGTGACAAACCCAATTCCCTTGTGCTGACAGCAATAATAATAAGGCACCTTCTTTGTTCATTACGCTCTCTTTAACCCTGGTATTCTCATTCAGGCCTGCATTTAGTAATCGCTCAGTGTGACGGCGCACTAATGAAGAAATAAAACACAGTATCTGAGATCCATTCTTCTAGCAAAAAGATATACTCTGCTCCACTGGCTTGTAAAATCAGGTTTCTGTTCACTTGGAGAACTATTAGACCAGGTGAATAAATGTAACATTTTGTAATTTGGAGAGGACACCTGGAATGGACTGTAGATTGATCCTTTCTTCATTATTTCTAAACATTTTTTTAAGATTAAGAACTTCAGCCTTCTTAGGATGTGTTTTTATAAAGCTTTGACCCTTGGCTATTGATTTCCTTTATAGCTTCTTTAGAACTGGCTGTTCTTGTCACTTATCTCTCCTTCTAGGTTGGGGAAGGAAGACTATTATGACTTTCCATTAGCCTGATTGTGCTAGTGGATGAAAGGGAGTTGAAGAATTCTCCTTCCTTTTCCTTTCTTGCAATTGCCATGATAAATAATAAAAGCAACACGTATTTCCTGATGCACTGGTCTGGAGAGGTGCTCTAGAGTCTTCTCATTCCATAATGCCGCTCTCTGACATCTCCATTTCTTGCTGAGTTGTACATACTGTGCTTAACCTTCAGGTAAACCAGGCATCTAATCTAAACAAATAACTCAAGCTCTGGTTTTAGTATTCTGCTGTAGTAGAGTGAGTAGTTATGTCTGGCTTAAAGCTTGTACAAGTAAGAGCAGAATGTGCCAGGATGTGAGCACAGGAGACTCTGGAGTGGGGTATGTTGGAAAGCCAGGCATAGACGCCCTGACATACATGTTTACTAATGCATTTTTTCTGTTGAGCTTATCTCATGGGGATAATCATGAACATGTCGGTCACCACTGAGGAGCAGAGTGTCCCTGGATCTGCCACTTCGACCTAACTCAGGAATTTAGACTTTCAGTTCTGAAGCAGAGTTGGCTTATCAGCTATCAGAATGGGCATGGGGATGGTGTAATTGACCTGTAATACATTTGAACAAAAGCTGTGGAAAACACAGATGCCTTTCCCTTTTGGGAGCATCACAGATACAACGTTAAGGCAACTGTTTAGACCTTCATTATATTTCCATACTTGCTGAGAGGATGGGTCTTTCATGAAGTTAGCAATCTAATGGAGAATAAATTGCCTTACCAATACACAAATCCATGAGGCTGAAAAACAATCAGTCTCAATTATGGTCCTCATCCTTGAGTTTCCTTCTCTTTAAGGAGATGGTCTGTGAATTGCAGCCTAGTGCAGGCAGGTGCAGTTCCCACCCAAATTAATGGATTTTGGTCCGGTGTCCCCACCGTTAATGAGTCAAATTTTCGAACTGTTTCTTAACAAACAATGATCACATTATGACTGAGAACAGGACAGTTTTGTATTGCTTATATTGTCTCTTCGATTCAGATTATTAATGATTTTTAATTGGGAGCCTTTTACAAAAGAGAGATTACCATCATAGACTGTCCAGCTTGAAATCTTTCTCAGTAAATGACCCTGAATAATTTAGTCTGTTGTGCCACCCAAACAGTGACCGATTGATTGATATTTTGGCGTGGCCTGAAATATTTCTAAAATGTTTGCATTTAAGACAGTTTATACTGGAGAATCTTAGAGATAATGAGAGCAAATTTAGTGAGATACAAGAGAAAAGTGCCTGCTTTAAAAGGGCTTCCTCCAGTTTAGGTTATCAAGAAACTGAAGAGCCTGACTTCAAACAGCAAACATCACTTACTTGTCTTTACATTCGCCTCTTCTAATTGAATTTAGTGCACTGCTGTATTTCCTCCAGAAAGTATATTGTTTTTAAATTACCATTTCAGTGCTATTACTCAAGGCTCCTGCTTCTAATGCTTTCTGACAGTTATCAGCATAATGAACCATAATGAAATGATGAGCAATCTACAGTGGAAACTCAATGTGGATTCCACTAGAGCTGTGTGACTGTGTTGTTAAGATTTGAATGCACATTAAAAGAACACTGTCCTTATTTGTTTCCAAGGTCAGGGCTTTAAAAAAGGTCTGAAAGGTCTAAACACTTCAATTTTGTAAATGTTGTGATCTAATATACACCCTTAGCACAATCTTCTGTTGCATTTACTATATCTCAGAGATAAATATTTTACCCCCATTTTCAAAAAAGAGTGAATTTACCTACCTAATAACTGTACTTGCAAATGAGTAATTACACAGGACCTGATTATTTGAGCATACATTTATTATGATTGCTTAGAGTACTAAATAAACAAATGTGCTCTTTTTCCTTCAGCTGAACTTGTGCCTTTTCGAAATTTCCAGACAGACACTGATTATCACTGTTCTAGCTTTTAGAAGAATAAGAAAGTAGGGTACAATACACGGTCTTGTTGGCTAGTATGTTGTATGTAGGTCTGCACTGGTGTTGTCATGGTTCCTTTCTAGGATTTGTACATTTGTCCTGGCACTACCTTAGTCTGAACTCTGCAGTTCAGTCTAACC